ATTGATGGGAAAATGCATTTTTACAGTCAATGGGGTTAACCCTCTAAGAATATGGGATAGCTGTTTAAGTCAAGAGTTATATGTTAATTGTTTTCCATTATTTTTCCAATCATGGCTCAAAGTTTTATTCTTATTTTACAAGAGTGTTTTCATGTTTTAAATTCTGAAGATTTACATGAATTCTGATCCTACTGATCCTACTGCTTCTATTGTGATTGGTCTCATTCAAGTGATTTGTCTTATTCGAGACAACGATTGAACAACTAGCCTTGTGGTGCAATCAGAGCAATCTTGAACTAAATACACTCAAAACAGTAAAAATGGTGGTAGATTTTAGGAGAAACCTTCCTATACTATCACCTCTTACAATACTAGACAACACAATATCAACAGTAGAGGCCTTCAACTTTCTATGTTCTATCATATCTCAAGACTTAAAATGGACACTGAACATCAAAAATGTCATCAAAAAAGCACAACAAAGAATGTTCTTTCTGTGCCAACTCAGAAAGTTCAAACTGCCAAAGAGTTACTGATTCTGTTCTACAGAGGAATTATTGAGCCTGTTATCTCCACCTCTATAACTGTTTGGTTTGGCTCTGCAACCAAACAAGACAGACAGATTTCAATGGATAATTAGAACTGCAGAAAAAACAATTGCTACCAACCTACCTTCCATTGAGGGCCTGTATAGTGCACGAGTCAAAAAGAGTGCTGTGAAAATAATTACAGACCCCTCACATCCGGGACATAAATGTTCAACTTCTACCCTCTAAATGACATTATAGGGCACTGCACACCAGAACAATTAGACACAAGGACAGTTTTTTCCTGAATGCCATCACTCTGTTAAACAACTAATTCCCACAACACTGTGATACTATCTACTAAGACTGTATTACTATTATTCTTCTCTTCCTTCCTAGTACCTATCTCTTCCCACTTATGACTATAACCATGTTGCTTCTATCTTTAAAATTTATATTGTTTTATTTTTCCTAGTATAATTTGATTGTTTATTATTAACCTATGACTATCACTAAGTGTGGTATCTTATGATTCTTGATGATTCTGTTTTATTTTTCTTTATGTACACTGAGAACATATCTACCAAAGACAAAGTCCTTGTGTGTCCAATCACACTTTGCCAATAAAGAATTCTATACTATTCTATAAGAATATCCCAGGCCTTCAAGGTCTCCCATTTCAAACTATGTGGCTAATCTACACATTGCAAGATTCAGCCATCCTCCTTTCATACCTTCAGACTCTTTAATCTTTCCCCATAATTCAATACAACCCAAAAATCATTTCTGCTGGTCTTCTCTTTTCAATTTGTTTGCATCTGCAAGACTGGGCATGTTAAGTAAATAACTATATAATTCAACTTAATTTTATGAACATCAGTTTCACTGAGTAATAATATTTGCCATTTATTCAACATTATACTTTGCCAAAACATTAAATAGAAATCTAAAGTTTATCCCTTGTTTTAATTTATTGCATTTGAATTCTCAATTCTTAGGGACTAAGTAATTTCTAACTTAAAATTACATGTGGCATATCTATAAGCATTTTTAAAAAAAGCCGAAAACACCAGCCTGAAGATGACGAGGGCAGATTTTGCATGGTATTTCATAGACTCCTTGGTTTTCTAGCTGCAACATACATAGGACAAACGAACAGGAGAAAAATGCACGCATCGCAGAACACAAGAACGCAGTA